TGCAAATATTGTTTTTTGAATCACATATTCTGGGATTAATTTATTGATGTATTTGTTGATCACAATATTAGTAAATTTGATCTTGTGATTGATGGGATATAAAGAAAAATAAACTTTTGTATATGAACAAATACTAGGAGGTCATAACACGCAGGCAGGAGAATTAAATAGAATTATAATAAAATAGAACATCAAGATTTATGTGGAAAATTCCTCCAATATAAAAGGTAAAAACCAATAGATAAATTAGAGATAATCCACTATAAGAATAATGAATATATAAATCTCAATTTCTTGCTTAAAACCCTTGTAACAATCACAAAAGAATAGTTGGGATACAAGGATCACGTCACTATGCATAATATTCAAATTTTTCTTCAAGTGAGCTGTGGGCTGTCAGTCCAACGATGGCTTGTGCCTGTGCTTTCTGTTGGCCCCTGTCATATGTCATTAGTACGTTCTGTCCATATCAACATAGCTAGGTTAGATTTTAGCTTTTTTTCAAATAACTCTTCTAGCTTGTGGGGTTATGGGTATTTTAGGAGGCTTATGTCCAATGTGTAAGTTGAATTAGCATGGTTCAACGGAGTCTCTAATTTTGTTTTCTACACTTGTACAGAAAACTTCTACATCTCTTTTTATTTGGTTTGGCCTTCTTGTTTCAATTTTATGGGAAGACATCCTTGATTGGACCGATTTCTTTGTTTTATGTGAAACAAAAGATAAATGTACAACACAACCAACTCAATCTCTTTTGGATATCGAACTAAAGTCTTTTCTTAGCCTTAGACTATGGTGAAAGTGATGGAATAAACCAAATTAAGTTTACTCATTGTTAAACAAAAGAGTGATGGTCACTCTTCATGAACTTTAATTGTGCACGGGTACATGGGACATGCACATCCGCTTTGTGCCCATGTCAAATGACTTGGCACAAATGGGTAGTAATATGATGTATGTGGAAGAGTATAGTGGAAAAGTAGAAAGAAACTATTAAAGTAGCACTTCTAATTTACTTACTTTTTGGCACTCCTTCACTTTATATTCATCCACTTGTTTATAGTGACTGAAATATGAGAAATGTATTCATATTTATTACCTTTTTGAGAAGTACTGTCTCTAGTTAGATTTATGGTGCAATTTTTTCTTGGATAACCAATCATTAAGAGCAGTCAACTGTGCATAGAGTGGTGCTATGCTGGTTGTTGAAGTTGTATGTCCAAAGATGTCTTGTCTGCTGCATTTTGGTTTCCGTGTGCAGATTCCAAGGCTATTGTAACTCCCTAGCCAGGGATTATTCTTGATGAATTCCTTTTTCTACGTGTCATTGTCGAAGCATCAATTGTTTTTGTAAATTGTGACTTGTTAATCCTGCTTTCTGTGTTCTACCACCTTTCAATTTCTGCATCAATTGTTTTTGTAAATTGTGACTTTTTAATTCTGCTTTCTGTGTTCTGCCACCTTTAAACTTCTGCTGATTGTGGAAGATTCAATCAATGATTTTTTTTTCAATTTTTGGGTGAATTCCTCAAAAAAAAAAAACATTTTACTTTTCAAAAATTTTTACAAGAGCACCCCTATTTTGAAATAGTGTCTCTTTTAAATTTCAAAACAGCTCTCTCTTTTAAATTCCTCATCAGTTGCCTCCTTCATCGTCGCCCTCTTTAGACCTTAGCAATCAATCCATCACTCGTTTGTCGTTTTTATGGAAACCTAATAGTTTATTGTGACAATGCTTGCTTGGATATAGTGGGGGGTGACCAACCCTCGTACGAGGCCTGTAATGAGGGGGGTGACCCCATGTGTGGCGAAGGGGGCCGATCAACCCTCATGCAAGAGCTACAAATAATAATAGGTTCGATGAAAGAAAGAATAAAATGATCTTTTAGTTTGATCTCTCTACAGTAAATTTCACAAAGTATGGGTTTTTTTTTATAGAAATTATCGTTAATTTTTTTTATGTATGTAGAAAGGGAAATGTTGTAGTTAATTGGTTTACCTCTTTTGCTAGTATCAGCAAATTATCTCATTTTTTGATAGGAGTTTGACTTTTTGATTTATTGTATAGGAACGGTCTTCTATATTTTCGTTCTATTTAGTAAAGTGTAATTTTTTATTTTGAGAAAAAAATTCTGCTATTTTCGATTAGCTCAAAATGTGTCACACGATGGTTTAGCAGACAAATAGTCTCAGTAACAACAACAAAGATGAGTGGAGCTCAAAGAAGGTGCGCAGGACGGCCTCCGATGACATCTCATCTATCCCTCCTCCCCTTCTATGATCGTTCGAGACTATTTTGTTTTCTATTTGCTTCCCAACGTTCAGGACCGATGCAATCAGGGATAGAGCCCTTCGTTTTGCCTCCACGGAAAAGGTTGATGAATACCTCCATGGAACTACGTCCACTAGAGGAGATTGATGAAGAGATGGAGGTGGAAGATGGCGTCGAGAAGACTGTGGTGCGTGTGGGGCTGCAGATTCCGATAATGAGCTCTGGGTATGCTGCAACGTATATGTTAGGTGGTATCACTATGTGTGCGTCGGAGTAAGTCCTTCCCAGGCTCGGCGATCTTTGTCCTGAGCCACCTGTATGTTGGGCCGATGGTTCATATTTAATCTAAGGTGAGTTTTATCAGCCCACAGCTCACCCTCTCTTAATCTAACTCTAATTTATATTAGGAGGGGTGTAGTGGCTATAAAAAGATGTAGAAAAAGGCAATAAAGAGACAGTTTTTGGCAACCACGGGATTCCAAAGAAAAGGAGAAAAATAAGACAGAAAAGGAAGAGAAAGAAAGAGAAGAAGACAAGGACAACACAGAGAGACTATTCTCAATCATCTAATAGTGCTTTCATCTCAGGTTAGATCAGATCTATAGTAGATTCTTACTGTGATTTCTTGAGGAGAATTAGGGAGGATTTAGATATTGTGCACACTGACGTGATCCTTGTATCCCAGTTATTTTCTTGTGATTATTGCTAACTAGGAATAACTTAATTCACAAAAAAAATAACTTTTATTTATCATATACTAGCACAATAGACACACAATATACAAAAAGCCATATAAATTACATATAAATTTGATCTCTCTTGATAAAGGAAAACCGATGAAACTCCCCTTTCTGAATCGACAATGAATGAAACTTTAGCTACTCCCTTTCCTAACTTGAGAATTGGAACTAGACCTAGACTCTCATCTAACTCAGGCTCTTTTCTACCTGAATTCTTATCCTATACCTCATACCTTCATTCTGACTTGCTTCGGTATCAAAGCTAGGGTCAACTCATTTGATGTGGAATCGAATTAGGCTCTCTTCTCTTCTCTTCTTGCTGACCCAAACTAACTCTATCTTACTGGCCTACCTCGACTCGCGTTCCATTCTTTAATTCCTACTTATGGACTACTTAGTTCAATTCTGATTTTAACTACTGAGTTGTGCCTAGTAGGGGTGCAGCGTATGGGTCCCCAAAGGAAACTGTGTAAACCAACTACTAATAAGAATTTCACTAACTCTAAACTCAGGTACCCGTATTTAATATAACTCAATACAGGAGTAAGAATAAAGTTAGGGTACTCAAGAACAGGTTATGACCGAGCTACTACTACTGGACTGGCACCCGAAACTTCCTGCACTGGATTGATTGTCTCTCTCTAAGCCTCTACTCTTGCAACTATACTGCATACTCTCTAACACAACTTCTTTTAGGCTAAAATGCACTAGAACACTACTTATGTTGTTTGATGGGAAATCCAATTAAAAACATCTCAAGATTCGAAAGAATGCATTTTAAAGTAGATCAATCTTGCTCCCGTTAGTGCTTCTTTGCCAATTGAACACAAGACAGGACTCCTAAAGGTAAGAAAGGTAGAGTGCCAGCTGGACTATACCACTACTTGTCAACTTCAGACTAAACTAGGGATTCCACTCGCCAAGCCACTACTAGTGTCAAGCAAGTAGTAAATGCAATTAAGTTAGTACGAGTGCCCAATAGTATAAAAAACTCATAACAAGTAAGGAAAAATATGTTAATTGCAGTTGTTACCAAGTCCTGTCTTCACGGTGGCAGGCGATTCGACTCTTCGGCAGTTATAAACGAAATCCGAGGGTGGAACAGAAGAATTGGTGATAGGGGTGTAATAGAAGAAGTCACTACCAAACCCTAGGCAAGGGCTCCTTCTCTCAATTCTTACTTTATAGTGGTAAAGAAAGAAAGAGAACCAATTTACCAAAACATAGGGCAAAGTAACTACTAGACAAACAAACAAGCTACTACTATAGCAAGAAAGAAGAATTAGTTGACTAGGATACAAAGATCACATCATTATGCATAATATCTAAATCCTCCCTAATTCTTCCAAAGTAATTAGGAAGAATTACTTTACTTGTTCTGGTTATTCTCTTGTGATTGTTGCTAGAGTTTTGGGCAAGAAATTAAGATTTATATATTCATTATTCTTATAATGGATTATCTTTAGTTTACCCCATAATTTTTACCCTTCATATTAGAGGGATTTTTCACGTATATCTTAGTGTTATATTTGATTGTGACTTCATTTAATTCGGCTACGTCTTATAGCCGACTAATATTTATTCATATACAAAATTATTTCTTCCATCACTGTATTCCGTTGCTATTAGTTCTCTGTATCGATTTAGAAACGCAAGAGCACCATCACATCGGCAATGTCCTATTTGCTCTCTTTGAAATCTTGTGATTATAAATTTCTTTTCATATGTTTAGGGAGAAGAATAAATGTACAATCCAATCATATCATCTTTGGATAAAAACTGACGTTTAGTTTTCCCTTCATAATTGAACACATCAGTTATGAAATTCACAAAAACCCATCATAACTGAACGCATCAGTCGTTTTACGTCTGCGATGTACGTCGAGGACACGATCGTCATTAGATGAAATCTTGGAGGACTCGGTCGTCACCAGTCGATGATAAAACACGGCTCGGCGGGAGCGGCAAAACCAAACCGTCTCAGCCGATTCCTCCCCCGTCATTTCTATTTGATCTTCTTTGTTCTTCCTCCGCCCTCTTCTTCATCTTCTCTCCTCTCCATCATCAGAATTAGCCTGTCTTCCTCGAGGCCTCGAGACCGTACTCGTTTCGTTCATAGCAGAGCGCGCAATGGATTTGGGCAGGAGTGCGTCCACTTATCGTGAAGCCGAGGATCTCTTCAAAGACTTCAGAGGCAGAAGAGCCGGCATGATCAAGGCTCTTACGACTGGTCTTTCTTGCCTTTCTATCTCTCTCTCTCTTTCTCTCTTTCGCTCTCGCACACACCGCACTCGATGTGATTTCTTGGAAGTTTCTACTCGTTTCCGGTTACCGTGGATTATGTTCTTGTTGGTGGTGTTGCAGATTTTACCAAGTTCTACCAGCAGTGCGATCCGGGTGAGTCGGACCTCCATTTCTTGATCTGCTTCTTTTCGCTTAGGCGTTCGGCTATCTTTGTGCATCTTTCCTTTATTTATTTCATCTATTATTCCTTGGAGTTTAGGGTGATGGAAATGTCGTTGATGCCTCTCAATTTATCAGATAGTTGTTGATGCTATTGAGTCGCACTGGACAACTAAGTCAATTTTGCTTGTGGCGATGGCTGATTAACGTCCAATTTGTCATAATCACAGCAGTATGAAATCCACCATTGTTTGTCAATGGTTCCAACATGGATCAATGATTTGCATCTGACCCAATATCTTTCAGAAATGGATCTTGTGAAATGAATGATACATTAAAATAAATAACTTAGGGTTGGATCCTTTTGGATCCATACTTGAAACACCATAGATTTAACAAATCGATTCTGTTCATGTTCTCACTGTTAAAGACCAAAATATATGAATATAGTTGTTGATGCTTGCTTTGCTTGTGGTATAGCAAAGAATGAGTCAATTTTATAATTAAATTCTGACCAAAATGTTAATACTATTGCCATTATGAGATATGGAGTGTAGATTTGAGTATCGACCAAGTTCCCTTTTTTTTTTTGATATGTTTGAAGTTTATTCTCAGTAGATTTGAGTGTAGATTTGTACTCGGTATCCAAAATTTCCTACTATGATATGTTTGAAGTTTATCCTCAGTATAAGCATTTGTAAATAGTATACTTTTTCTTCTTTTTAATTTTCTTTTTGCAAAATTTTTTGATTTTGGGTCTTCTGCTACAACCTTGGAAGAGGCAAAATGATTAGCAAAATGGACCATGATGAACAAAGAATAAAATGATCATGTGCCTCTTCCATTGTGACTATGAAGCTTTGCGTTTGTATTCTTTATTTGAAGCCTAAAAAGTTGTTGTATTTCTTGCATTTAGAAACTGAAAAGAAATACATACCGAACTTGTTATGTCATTTAGAAAGAACATAGATTTCAGATTTGATTGGAGGAAGTTTCAAGCTTCTTATCTTGAGATTTGAATATGTAGAATCTGCAATTATAAGTTATATTGAGATGTGTTGGGACATTGCATTTCCTGTACCACAAGCAGTAGGGATTTCTTATAGGTCTTTGACAGTTATTTTCTGTAACTTATATGATTACCATGGTTGTAGAGGTCAGCATGTATTATTGTTTACCAAAGCACCAAAAGCTAAGTCAAGGCATATTCCCTTTGGTTATAATCAACTATTAACAATGGAGAGTATTACTGGTGAATCCTGAGAATAAGATTGTTTTGCAGAGAAAGACAACTTATATCTATATGCATTTGCTGATGAGACTTGGGAAGTAAGGGAACGTCCTGAGAAAGTTCTCACAGAATTTCCTGAACTGGTCATAGGAATTAACCTTGCCAGAGATGTGACGGAAGAAAAGCGGTGGCTCGCAAATGTTGCATGCCACAGTGATGCATGGTTGCTCTCTTTTTCCTTGTACTGGAGCCTGCGCTTCGGCTTCGACAAGGAAACTAGGTAATGTTAATTCGATTGGATCTATGAGCCATCTCTTTGTTGGTATATTCTAATATCGGTGCATGCTTTGATCTATATAATGACTCCCGAGAATGCGAAAAAAGTAATTTTTGTATGGTTCTATTAGAGCACTCTGTCTATTATGATAGATAGTCACTTGAACTCAGGGATGCATATATGTTTCGGTGACATGTTTTGCCTCCGGATTTAAGTAGCTTATCTATGCCTGTGCTTTGCGTCAAGCATGTCATGTGTGATCCATATGTCTCTGTCCATCCAAGCATGTATTAGCTTGTATAGATTTGGTTCCCTCTTCTCCAAAGAATCATTTTATTATTTACCTTGTGCATGAATGGCCTTTTTAGGAAGTTTATGTCCACTGTGTAAGAAAAACTTGCACGGAGCAATGAAGTCCAAGTTGTTTATATTCAATAACAGTTCCAAAACATCAACATGCTCTGTAGTTTCTATAATCACAAGGTGATGGCCTTTAAGAAGTGCTTTTGTTATAATTAGAATAATGCAATGTGAGTTCCATTAGGGGTTTCTATGATCATGGGTATGTTATAATTAAAATCAAATGCACTGAGTGCAGAGCTTTTGATGTTTGTTGCAGAGTAGAAAGATACTTGTATGCCAGACACCTTTCCGCCAAGTAACCCAAATCGTCAGTGGTTTTCTTTATATCGTGCAACACATGAGTTCGTGAAACTCTTTCAGTACCGAGAGATGTGTGGATGTCAGCAGCGAATGTTTTCTTATTCTAGCATTATGAACTGTAATTGCCTTCCCAGTGGTAATTTATTGTGTACTTGGTACAGGAGGCAGCTCTTCGTGATGATAAATACTCTTCCTACTATTAGCGAGGTTTTTCTTGGAGCTGCCAATAACGGAGAGAAAGAAACAATCCCGAGTAACAGCATCAAAGATGGGCCGAGTTCAGAGAAGGCGAGTAAGATTGGCCCTTTGACGACAACTCGTGATGTGTCCTTATTTCTCATCTATTCAGACTTGGCAGCATTCCAGACGGGGGCGTCAAATAAAGGACGACGAAGACGATGACGAGGACGAACACGAACACGATGACGATGACGATGACAATGACGATGACGATGACGATGATGATGACGATGACGATGCCGAGGACGACGGCACATGTGGTGCATGTTCGAAGACGCATCGTCAGGGTGAGTTCTGGATATGCTGCGACGCGTGTAAGAAGTGGTACCATGCCGAGTGCGTCAGAATAACACCTTCCCAGGCTGAACAAATCAAGCAGTACAAGTGCCCAAGATGCTGCCGTCGCAAGACTCCAAGCGCCTGATCCTGTGCCTCGATTAGTTAGTAATCCTTGACCTGCTTGTATGGGGCTCCGGATCTATCTGAAGTTGTTCTCGGCCAACTCCTTTTCTATGGGGGTGGAGTGTGCTCAATTTGCAGCACAAACAAGTGAACCTTGGGCTGCCGAGGTCGATGCGTTGGTTGAGGCTTCAGAGACACCGGAAAGACCCATTACCTCCTTGACCATGTTGGTCCGCTTCATGCTTTACATTCATTAGAAGCAGAACAAACTTTTGACTGTGCACAGCATGTCGGTCCTCTTCTGAAGTTGTTCTTACCTCTGCACTCTTCTTGTTGTGTGTGTGCGACTTTTTACCGTGCGGTACCGTGTCAGAAGCCTTGCTTGGCTTTCTCACCGCTTCCGCCTCTCGCTACGTCGACTACAAGCGCGAGTTCACCATCTCACCAACATGGTCGCCCAAAGATCTCACCTTTTCTTCCCACACCTCTCTATTTCAACGTCGTCTGATGTTAAAATTAGAATCTTGCAGGCGGTAAGGAGCGATCGCGGCACAAGAATCGACCGACGGCTTTCCACCGGTTGGGCTGCTCAAAGGATCCGTCTCAAACTCTGTTCCTTCGACGCCCAAATTGCGTTTATGCTGGACGATCCAATCCATACGTGACATGTGGGGGCCACTATTCTGGAGCAAGTCACCCGATAAATATTTTGTGTCTGGGCGACCCTGAAATCAAAACGGCTCGGCGCGGGAGAGGCGAACCAATTCCTCCCTCTTCGTCTTCTCCTCCCCCGTCATCGAAACCTACCGCAGTCCCTAGTCTTCCCTCTCAGAAATTAACCCTCCTTCCTCTTTCCTACGTCGAATTACCTACTCGAATCTGCCTTCGTTTAAAGCAGTGCTCGCCAATGGACCGGAAAGGGAAAGGGCAACCTATCACTTCTTGGACGATCCATATGATCTTCCGGGACTTCCTAGGCAAAAGAGCCGGGTTGATCAAGGCTCTCACTACTGGTCCTTCTTTTCCTCTCCGTTTTTCTTGGAAGTTTTAGCTGGCCTCCTTGTTCTTGATCCGTTTTGCCTGTTCTTGCTGCTTTACTGTTACCGCGTGTTTTCTTCTTGGTGGTGGTGCTGCAGATTATGAAAAGTTCCGTCAGCAGTGCGATCCGCGTGAGTCAGCCCTCCATCTCTTTCTCTGCTTCTCTTTGCTTAGGTTTTTGCGTCTCTTGCACATATCCCTTGTCTTGTCCTTCATTGGTTCTTGTAGTTTTGGCTGTTGATTGATAACTTTACCTTCTTTCCATCGTATTTGAGTTTGCAAATTATATTGAAATTTGTTGAAACATTGAATTGTCTGTGCTAAAAGCACTGGTCTTTGAGAGTTATTGTTCTGTGATTTATATGAGTACCATGGTTATGAGAGTCAGCAGCTTGTAGTTCTTGTTTGTCAGTATCAGAAACCAAGTGAAGTCCTGTGATTGTTTTGCAGAAAAACCCTACATGTGTCTTTATGGGTGTCCTGATGAGACGTGGGAACTAAAGGAACCTCCTGATGTTCCCCACGAACTTCCTGAACCAAACATAGGAATTAACTTCGCCAGAGACGGGATGCCAGAAAAGGAGTGGCTTGGTCGTATTGCAATCCACAGCGATGCATGGCTTTATTCTTATGCCTTCTATATTGCCATACGCGCTGACCTTGATGCCGAGACCAGGTAAGGTCTATTTAGTTTCATCGTCTACTCTCAAATATTTGTGCGTGATTTGATCTGATCCATCATAAGATGATTTCCCAGATCGGCCAAGTACTAGCAGATCTTTTTCGTTCTCTTCTATCACAGAATTTTACCTATTATGATCATCGTTTAGATGCTTTTTGGTAACATAAGTTTTGTTATCATATGCTTATGCCATTTTAACTTTTAATCAGTGTTTCTGTCGTAGTTAAAAACTGTTCCTTCTCTATCCAGTGGTCATAAAATGTTTTACTGTTTTGTCAATTAGTAAATAAATGTAGACTTCTTTTTTGTTATCTTGAGATGAAACCATGTAGAATGACATTTCAATTTTCAACTCCATTCAATGACATAATAATGTATCAGATCATCATCATCTTTGGACCTGATTAAGATTTTAAGTGCATGTCGAAGGCCTTGTTTTCATATGCCATTAAGCAAGTCAGAAGATTTCAGCCATGATTTTATTATTTCTTTTTGAATTTCTGATATTCATTATTTCCGAAAATCCTTTGAATCGAAATGTGATACTGAACTTATTGATGAAATCCTAACTTATTGCTTTAATTTGTAGTGTATATCTATCTACTCATGCATTATAAACTACAGTTTTGTTCCTAATGGAAGTTTATCGATACAGGATGCGCCTTTTCGATATGATAAATTTTAATCCTACTATATACGAGATTGTACGTGGAACTGTCAACACCAAACGCGCAAAAGAAAAGCCCCCCGGTACCAGCTCCAAGAAGGTGAGTTCGTTTATCGCCATCTTTCTGGCTTCATGCGTGCCTACGTCCAGTAACAGAGAACGATGCTGAACAGGTCTATGACGATACAAATATTATGTGTGGTGTCTGCGGGATCAGGTTTTCCGACGGTGATCACTGGGTATTTTGCGGCATGTGTATTACGTGGTATCATGGTAGGTGTGTCGCTGTGACACCTGAGCAGTTGAAGTCAATCAAACAGTACAGGTGCCCGAGTTGTTGCTCTTACGAGGGAGCGACGACCTGAAACGTCATGGGGTTGTGTCATAGATTCAGCTCCAGCAACGATCCATTCATCACTCATCAGTCTGTCTTCGAATTACATCTCTCTCCCATGAGAGCAACTTTTTGATCTGCCGTTGTTTTTTCACGTCAGATAAGCCATTGAACTTTTTTGTTCCCCTTTTGTGGAGATGGCCTGCCCCATTGTTGTGACCTAAGCTTTCTAGTGTGACGGATACATGCGAAGTCGTTCAGACTCCCCTCGAGACTCTACACACTTCGCTTCCTTTCATCCCGCACCCCAGCGCCCCAAGCTTGGCCGTCTCCTTTTCCACCTCCGCCGCCGCCGTCGCCGTAGTGGCAGTGGCTTGCTGCATCCTCACCCTCCCCGACAACGAGCCATGGCGCAGTGCGGAGGGATGGTGTGGCCCATATTATGGCGGACGTCACCCGAAAACCTTTCCTGGGCGACCCGACCCGGCAACCAAGTCAGGGTCTCTGCAGGGCACAACCGTCATTTAACCAAATGTAGACGTCACGGTTGCCGACCGGTGACGTAACCAAAACACCCTGAAATCAAACACGGGTCGGGGCGCGGGAGCAGCGAACCAAATCGAATCTCATATCGTTCCCCCTCCATTCCATCTCTCCTTCTCTTCCTCTCATCGGACTCTATCCTAACCCAGAACCGTCCTTCCTCGTTTGGACGCCGAATTCCCCACTCGATTCGGCCACTGGGAACCTCGACTTTTCTTCCCATAGTTTAAAGCGGCGCGCGCAATGGATGAGGAAAAGATAGATTACTATCTTTGGACAGTCGATCAAATCTTCCGAGACTTCCTTGGCAGAAGAGCCGGCTTGATCAAGGCTCTCACCACTGGTCCTCTTTTCCCCTCTGTTTTCTTGGCACTTTTACCTGGTGTCGTTGGTCTCCACCCGTTTTCCCTGTTCTTGCTGGTTTTCTGTTACCCTGTGTTTTGTTCTTGATGGTGGTGTTGCAGATTTTAACAAGTTCTACACGAAGTGCGATCCGGGTGAGTCTGCTCTCCTTTCCTTTGTCTGCCTCCCTTTTCTTAGTGCTTTTCTTTTTCTTTTGCATGTCCCATTAATTCTTGGAGTTTTGGCTGCTGATCGATGTTCGTGATGTCCCCCAGTTTCTGCCCATCTTTTGGAATCCCAAACTTCTGTCCTTTTGGATTTGGGTTATAGAATTACGTCCTGTAGCTTATAGAATTAGGGTTTGGGATTCACACCTAAAACACAAAATCCATGTGATCCGAACACCTACCTATACCCTGTATTTGTGCATTGTTTAGAAGTAAATATTTAGCCTTTTGATTTGATTTATGGAACTTTTAGCTTCTTTCCATGGGAGTTGAGTCTGTAAGCTTCGCAGTTACGAAGATTGTATCAAAATCCGTTGGAACATAGAGTTATTTTCCTGCGACTTATATGATTACCAGCTTGTAGTTCTTGTTTGCCCGTATCAACAACTAAGTCTAGTCGTATGACCTCTAAATAAAATCGTGTATTATTTATCATGGAGATTACTGAATATAATTGATTCCTTGGAATATGATTGTTTTGCAGAAAAACCCAAGATGTGTCTTTACGGGCGTCCTAATGAGACTTGGAAAGTAAAGGAACGTCCTCTTCTTTTCAGCGAACTTCCCGAACCACACTCGGGAATTAACTGCATTAGAGATGGGATGCTAGAAAAGGACTGGCTTGCCCATGTTGCAATCCACAGTGATGCATGGATAATTTCTCTTGCCTTCTATATTGCTGCTCGTGCTGGGTGTGATCATGACGTCAGGTAATGTCTGTTTGATTTCGTCTCTGAGCACTAGCAGATCTTTATATTGCTTATGAATTGATCCATAAGATGTTTTCGAAGATTGGAGAGAAGTACCAGCAGATCTTTTTTCATTCTCTTCCATCACAGCATTATATCTGTTATGATCATCATTTATGTTCCTTCCTCACCCTCGAATTCAGGGTGCACAAATTTCTCATTTCTTGATTAAAATACCAGTGAACTTGACCATGTGGCTGGTGGCTATGGTTGCTCTGCTTGATCATGTCATATGCATAAGATTTACTTGACCTTGTGGCTGGTGGCTATGATTGCTCTGCTTGATCATGTCA